GAAGACGATGAGACCAGTATTGATCCGAATGTGCTATCAACATTGAAGAAACTGCAAGATGGATATTTTGGAGGAGCCAGGTGGGTAATCTGAGGACCTATGTACAGTTGAACCCTTGTACACTTCCTAGTAGGTGTTACTGAATTCTGTGGAACAGGAACAATGGCTTAGTTTTCCTGCACACATCCAGTAATAGAAAATGCCTGTCCTGATTGAGATTTCAGTTTTTCGGAGACTGAAGGAAAACCTTAACATTGCACCAAACATTGCATAGAAAGCGAACATTGACACCATATGGGGCTTTTAAATAATCGCACATCTCATATACGATAGGGTTTTAAATATACTTCACTGCCCCACATTTCTGTGGTATAAAGCAGTTTTCTCTGGCGTTTACTGTTAGCTGGGAGTGGGGCAGAAGTTGGAAGCATGCTAAAGAATCAAATATATTTACTTCTAATTTAGTCTCTGCCTCAATGGTCTTGCTTCAAGTCAAGACTCTATTCCTTAGACACTGAATATCATGTCTAGCTAGCTCAGAGGGAATTGTATACTCATGAACCTGGATCACTTTTGACAGACTAGTCAACTATGATATTTTCTTTCTGCCAGAAAAAAAACTGCAATTTTATTTGTCAATGGGTACATTCTACTCTTCATCATTGCACTATTTTTGGTAAAGCTCTTGGTATTTGGCATTTGGATTTTTTTTTTTGTTTCCAATTTAAGATCGACACAGCACAGTAATGATTAACTCCCTCTATTACTGCTTCACAGATGAGCTCACTACCCTTCATTGTCTGTTTACGCCCACATTTTCTGGAGGGGTTGCTGGTTAGCTGTTAAGGATTTGAAGTTTGGCCTTCTTTGCATGGGGTAGTGACACTGATTGTGCCCCATTCCTACTCTAGTTGAATCAACTGGCTGGAAACTGAACCCCTCTACCAACCATGCCTTTGGGGAATTATGATTTTAAATTCATAAGTCATAAAATGTTCTCGCTTGGTGCTATATATTTTTTACTTTTTATTTTTATTTATATATATATATATATATATATATGCTAAAGTTTGTAGAAGTAGTGTGTTGCTTCAGATGCCAACTGCAGGTTCTTTTAATAGATTGCTTTATTGTCTTTTATTTCCTTTGTGCCAGAAAAACAACAATTTTATTTGCATCAACAGGTGTATTCTACCCTCCATTACTATATTATTTCTGGCAGAGCATTTAATGTTTGATATTTATAGCTTTTCTGTTTGTTACTTACAGTTAGCCACAAAACTGTATGAATTAATTTCTTCTCCATTCCTGCGCACCGTTAAAACTTAAAGTTTGAAATTAGTAATTCTCTATCGATTTTAATGTAAATGTCACTTTCTCTTCCATTTGTAAGAAAAAAAATTTGGTCTAGTTCATTAAGTTCACTATTTAGGTTATTGGTCAGGAACTGGTACAGATCATTTTTTCACTCCTTCCAAAATTATAATGCAGGTTGAATTAATACCCTCCTCTGTAATTTTTTGGTGCCTTTTTTGCAGGAAGTAAATCTGATTTGCCACTTATTTCTCAATAGATTGTTGTTTTTGTTTTGGAAGGGTGTCCCATAGTTGATTGTGCCAAAAGCAAATATTCTGCCTCTTTAATTTTCTAAACCCATTCTGGTAGAGCGCCAGAAGCACAGATCAAAAACTGGAACAGTTAATAAATTTCCAACCACTTAATTTTAGGACTGTTACCCAAACCCTGTGGTTAGATGAACATAGCTAGGCTTGTTGAGCAGTTTGAACAGAAAGGAATCCTCACATATTTTTTATTTACAGAGTTCAAACAGGCAATTTGTCAGCATTACTGGTAACTTCATGCTGCACACATCTCAGTTTTATGGATCTAGGACCTGATGGTAAGACTCTTGCTGACTGGCTTGCTTCGCACGACATAATAGAACCACTGGAGCATCTGCATGAATTCCAGCTTTTAGAGTTTGGTAAGGATGAGGATCTACACAATTGCTAATTGTTTAACAATACAGTTTTGACAACATGTGCTGACATTAGTTTCTCAATAATTAGATGTTTGTATGCTTTTCTGGAATGGAGGTATTTTCAGTTATGGTATTGCAAGTTAGAGTGCTGACTAGTACTCAGACATTTAACTTATATTCTGAAAGGGAGAGCACTCTGATTCAAAGATGTACAATTTTTACTTTTTAAATTATGTAGTTAAATATGACGTTAGAACTGGTGAGGTACAATGTCTCCTTTTTTTAGTTACAGTTCTCTGCTGATCACCACAAATTTTAAATTTAACCAGGTTGGTGACATGCAAATTTTGTAGATCTCAGGGTCAGGCATTAAGAACAAGACAGCTTGGTTTCTTTAGTGAAAAACAAATAGCGGATTTATTGCCCAAAAAAATCAAATTAAGATGTAAAGATTATAGAAGAGCAGTTTGGATTATACAAGTGTATTAATAACTACCTTTTTGAAAAAGTTGATCATGCACACTGAGCAGAACAAAAACATAAAAATTTTACAGTGTTAACTTAAAGGAACTATCATCAAGTAACAGTTAAAATCAGTAAAAAGAGGTGCGTTACGGATTGTCGCAACTGGTGTTTGGATTTTGAAGTAACACTGCACGCTGAAACTGTTGGCACTGTGTGTCTTCATGGGACAGTCAACCTGTGTGAATTTTCTTTGCTTTAATCAGTGGAGTGGATTCCATGAATCCTCTCTCGGAATCCTCCATGAGTGGTGGAAAATTACTTCTGGACTGGTTCTAATTCTTTTTGCAGAGATGCATTGCAAAGAGAAAGGGAACAATGGGCTGTGCTCTTCAGACAAGTCAAGTTCCTTCTCACCTAGTTCAAAAATACAGCAGACTTATTCGACCAACAAACTGGACCATGTGACCTCTCTCTAAAGGTGCTCCAGACTGCATGACTCCATCTGAGTTCCCTGATCGGGAAACGGAAATAATTAGCAACAAAAACAGAAGTTGCTGGAAAAGCTCAGCAGATCTGGCAGCATCTGTGAAGAAAAAAAATCAGTGTTAACATTTCAGGCCCAGTGACCCTTCCTCAATACTGATGGTAGCTGGGAAAATGTTGGTTTATATGCAGAAAATAGGGAGGGGGATGGGGTAGGGAGTAAACGATAGGATAGAGCTTGAAGAGAGAGAGAAGAGCAGTTGGATAGACAAAGGAGTTGATAACGATCTGGCTAGAAGGGTTAATAGCTGTTACTGGGGTTTGTTAGTAACTACAGCATCTTTACAGCACCTGCAGTTCTTCTGGAAATAATTTGCATCCTACTACATGCAGTAGTTGCATGTTTAGAGAATTATACCATTAATTCAACTTTTTCTTTAATGTTTTCAAATTTACAGAAAAATATGGTGGGGAGAATTTTTAAAAAATGCCTTTTTGCATTTGTGAGTGAACTTGTGTATGAAGAATTTGAAGGAAGGCATTGAATAGTTAATGTTTTTGCATTCACGAAGTGATTATTAGAATTTCTTGCTTTTTCCTATTTTTTAAACTGCATTTCTTCAAAACATGATGGGGCTACAGGTGGGGCTGAATTTGAGAGCTGCTAAAACTCCTCCGATATCTTGCCTGAATACCTATTTTCTATCCTGTAACATGGTTAAGAACGTTTAAGGACAATATTTTCAATCCGACATGAGTCTGTCAAATGGTCTCTCTCACCCCTTCCAATAGCTTGTTTATTTTTCCTTCTGTCTTCTCTAGTCGATTGATGCTGTTTGTGCAGCCTCCCAATACTATTTAAGCATTACACTCTGATGCTGTTATTGGCCAACCACATGTTCGATGTAGCAAGGATTTCTGATTGGTTAGATACAAGAAACATAACCTTTTTGCCTTTTCCTTCCTAACCCAAGAATGCTTGGATAGTTGCACTTGTCTCCAGTTTGATCTGTAGAGTTACATCTAATCTATCTGGTTCCGATTCATAATGGCTACTACAAGTATTATTGCTAACCATTGTTTTAAAATTAATGAAGTCTGCCATTTGATGAAAATCACCATTAATGTAGATAAATTCAACCAACAACGTAATTGCAGTGGAAAAGCATTGCAGTTAGCAATAATACTAACAGCTTTAGTTTGAAGTAAATTTTTAAAAAGTATTCAATTTTGCAGTGATATTTGTATGATAAACAGAAACTTTGGGGAAGGTGATTTTTAAACCTCCAAAACAAGTGGGTTTTGTTTGAGAAGGAGATTGGCAAGGTGGTTTCCTGTCAATTTGACCAATTTATTTGCAGGGTTAGGTTGGGTGTTCAACATTTTTATGAAGGCAGATTGCTGTAAATTTTACAGGTTTTCAATTTTTAACCCATGTAGGCTGTCTTAAGCAAGGTAAGTAAGACCTAGTTGATGGATTCAGCCTATTTACAGCACCGCTTACGGGCAGGAGATAAAAGGAGCATTTCTTCCATGCCTAACAAGCTTGACTGTAAGTGTCCTGCCTCATCACGATCTCTCAGTATGTACTCTGTTTCTCTTCTCCCATTCCACCCCCAAACTCTGATTATTAATGAACTTCCCCACTCCTATAACGACAGACTTCTGTTGCACCAGTGTCCCCACTGTCAAACACTTCCCTCTTATATTCACCAACCCCATCCCCCTATTCTGGTCACAATCTACTATCCCTTTCTCCTCCTCTCCAGTTTCTCCCCGAATCTACATGTTCTTCAAATACTCAGGGATCACCCACGGCCCTCAACTATACTATGCCTCTTCTCCCCGCTCCAAATTCAGTTTTCAGGTTGAGAACCTGTTTGTTTTTAAAAAAAAAAACTTGCATGTGGTTTAGTTAGTTTGATGGTAATATGTGTAATATTGAATCATCAAAGTTATGATTGGGCATATTATGAAAGGTACAACCACTGTTGCTGCCTTCTACATATAGCAATTATTTTGAACAATGTCAGCCATTGTATTTTGGAGTAAAATGAATGACTCACTTTTTTCTTCCATTTACTATCATGCTAAATGGAATCTATTTAGTGGGTTGTGAAAATCCTCAACATCTCACATTAAGGGATTCTGGATTTTATTGATGATTGGACTCTGCATACTTGGGTTTGCTTTTTTTTGTCTTTGAGGTGGCATGACATTTATTGCTCCAACTTTTGGCAATGCTTTTAAGGATGGCTGCACGTGATGGAGAAACTCATTTTGCTTCCTGTTGTAGCAGAAGTTAATGTGCAATTTGCATTTATTTGAGGTGCATGTGTATGTTCCATTCTGGCTTATTTAAGCTTGTGCTAGGCTATTTATGATATTATGCTTTTTAGTTTAAAAATGAAAGTCAAGGGAAAAATTTGAAATGTTTTACTGTCAAAATCTGGGTTGCTGTATATTCCTTCAGTGGGATTGGATGAAGATGCTTGAAATATCGCTCCTTCTGGCTTCCTAAAAAATTGAAGAGCATGTTGTCATTTTACCATGTGACATTTACAGCTGTCTTCTGCCAATTGCACTGTTTGTTGTCCCCCATTCTCTCACAGAAATGAGTACAGGTGCAGGTAATTTGTATTAAGATTCTGAATTTGGAATTAACATGATGTTGACATTTCAAACAAGAAAGGACTGTTGATCTTAAAGACTAGGTTTTGATATTTTGAGTACTCCAAAGAGATGAACGTTCAGCTGTCAGAATCAGACTGCTCAACGTTATCCTTGTTTAGAGAGAACCAAGCCTGGAACCTTTGTGACATCCTCAATTTGAGATTTCATCTTCCACAAATACAAATTCTACCAAATGTGAGCTTTAATTTGTTTTCGTCCATTTATTGATTGAGGTTGTTGAGAGGCAGATGGAGATGCCTTTGTGATATACCTTTATGTGACACAACTTGTACCAAGTATCAATCTAGGTGTTCAAAATACATATTTTCTTTTGGAAACTTAGTCAAATCGAATGGTCTTCTCAAGTCTCCTGAAGACTGGCAATGCAATTCAAATCATAAGCACAGACGTAGCCAGACCTTGCCCATGTGGGTATTGTTCTTTTGTGATCATTGGCAGGTTATTACCGGGGGAAGCGTCACAGATAAGATGTTTCTGGCCCTCATCTTGTATGCACACGGTTCCATTTTCCAGCCCTGAATAATTATTAGGTGTGGGATTCCCTGCAAATGTGAGAGCAGAAATTTATTGCTATGCCTGTATTGCTGTCTTGTTCGGGATTAGTTCGTTTAACAGGCTGGCATTTTAAAAAAAGAAAAAAATCCTCATTTTAAATCCTCGTTTATGATCTGAAATTTATTCCGTTTGAAGATCTGTATCGGATCTGATGACTGAGTTGCTATATAAGAGACAAACAGCAAGATACTTTTCTAAAGCTGTCAATGTTTACACAAAGCCACCATCAATGACATCAGTACTGCAGAGGAATATAAACCTTAATGAACTGTGAATTCAGAGTTGGAATTAAGATGCATCTTCAGTAGTAATTAAATCTGGAGCTATTGATCCTGATTAAATTAGATTTTTTTTGCCTGAGTATTGTAGGACAGCCTGTGTGTTTGAGTTTGAATGAGAACTCCCTTTATCATCTGAGATTTGCAACTATAAACTGAATACCATACCACATTAAGCCTATTCCAATCAAGAGCCAAACGAATCTTACTCATTCAAATAAGACCTTGATAAACTTTTTTTGACTGGGAACAGGAAGCTGATAGAAATAGATGAAGTACTTGTGGAAATTGTTACTTCTGTGCAACTGTGTAGCCCATTTTTGTTGTAGTGATTGTGATGAGTTCAACCAGGTGGACCTCATAGAATATGAATTCCCAGATTGGGGCTATTAATCTGGTCCAATGAGGGAGCCCTGGCTGACAGATAAGAGCAGGAGTGTCAGTTATCCTGTCACTCTGAGGGAGCTGGATCAGTATCAAGGACTTCCCACATGTAAATAAGGGTGACTTGGTGATGGTATACAGCCTTTGTAGAGTTATTTCAGTGGTGACGAGAGTAAAGCACACTCCTGAAGAAACTTCACTTGCAATGCTTGTATTTGCATTTGGGTAAGCATTTTTGGCACCATGCCATTATTTGGGAAACCTGACTCGTTCAATCCTGCCTTCGATGACTATGCCCAGTTTGTAGAAAGAATGAGTTATTTTGGCCGGACAAATGACATTGAGGCAGATGTAAAGCAACGAGTAATTCTCATGACAGCTTGTGGACCCACAGCTTTTTCAATTATTAGGACCCTAACTTTCCCTGAGGCACCAGATGCTAAAACCTTTCAAGAGTTGATGGATTTAGTCAAGAAATATAATGACTTCAAGCCATCTCTAATTCTGAGACACTATCGGTTTCACTCAGCAATTTGAGAACAAGGGGAATGGTATCGAGATTTTTGACTAGATTAAGATGACTGGCAGAGGCATGTGACTTTGGTTTAACCATTGATGAGATATTGAGATCCCATTTGCTGTGTGGAATTAATGATGTAACCGTGCAGAATCACCTAATAGCTGAAGCCCAATTGGTCTTCAAACAGGCAGTACAACAACTAAGTTTATCATTGGAAAATGCAGCAAGTGGAGCATATGAGTTGTAGGGCATTCTAATGGAAATGGACATCTTCGCCAGTCTGACTGAGCTTGGGGAACGCCACAAGTGAAGGCAATGGCATGACCTTGTTTGGGACATATCTTGAACAGAGGGACCATAAGTTAGCCCGCAGCAAAACTCCAAAACAAAGAGGAGCCTTGGCCAAACCATTAAAACTTTCTTCAGACTCTGGACCAGTATGTCATTATAGTTGCGGACTTGAGACTGCAAAAGAGTCCCAAAAGAGACCTAAGTAATGCAACAGAACTCTCAGGCTGGTACCTGGGAAAATGAATTCTTTGGAGATTCCACCTACATCTGGTTTGGAACAATTAAATTGCTTAGCAACATCCAAATCAGAACCAATCAAAATAAACGTCTGGTTAAATGGTCACCTGGTTCTGACAGATGTTGATACCAGCACAGCCATTTCAGTGATCGCAGAACCAGTCTTTAACGAAATTTGCTCTGGATTCCAACTCTTAAATTTGCACAAGACTTTGGCTAATTTGGAACCTATACTGGGGAACCTTTTACAGATTAAGGTTACAACTTCAGTTCTGGTCTCTTTTGTGAAGCAGCTGGTTCAGTTACCACTGATCCGAGTAAAAGGCTTGGACCCAAGCTTAATGGGGAAAAATTGGTTGAGAAAGATTCAACTTGATTGGTTCAACATTTTTCGATTTAGAAAATGGCTGCCGAGGTGAAGTCCTCATTAAGTACCCGAACTTTTTTTAGGAAAGTCCAGTCGCTATCAAAGAACCAAGGTCATTTTACATGTTGACTAGGAAGCAACTCCATGATTCTGCAAGGCCCACCCAGTGCTATTTACCTTGTGGGCCAAAGTAGAAGCAGAAATCAGAGGGCTGAAAAGCAAAGGAATTATCAAAGCAGTCCAGTTTGCAGAATGGATAGCACCAGTGTACCGATGTGAAGCCCGACGGGTCAGTTTTCCTTTTGTGTGGATTTTAAACAATCGGTAAACCACTTTTCACAGCTGGGTACATACCCAGTCCTTGCATAGAGGATTTATACCCAAAGCTGGCAGAGGGGTGCTGTCCTTCATGAAATTGGACACGAGCCATTCGTACTTGCAATTGCAGTTAGATGAGGATTCCCAGATGTATGCCACAATTAATACGCGTAAGGGTTTGTACCAATAAACGAGACTGCCATTTGGGGTATTGTCAGCCTGTGCAATTTTTCAGCGGACGATGGAGAACATTTTACAAGATCTACTCCAGATCACCATTTATCTAGTTGACTTGATAATAACATGGAAGACCGATAAGGAGCATTTGCATAACTTGAACATAGTCCTTAGATATTTCTCCCAGGCTGGTATACGCCTTAAGAAGGAAAAATGTGTATTCCAGACACCCCAAGTGACCTACTTGGACTACAGAGTTGACAAGACTGGATTACGTCTGTTGGAAGATAGTGAGGGCGATCAAAGGTGGCCTGGCTCCCACGTCTGTATTGGAACTTTGGTCTTTCCTTGGGCTGGTGAATTATTATGGAGAGTTCATACGTAACCCGGCCTCCATTCTGGCATCTTTGCATCGACTCTGAAACAAGGATCAGCCTTGGAAATGGTTGTATAGCCAAGCCGTAGCTTTCAGGCAAGTGAAGAAACAGTTACCGTCCTCTGAGGTGTTGGCAAACTGTGATCTCAAGTGAGATCTGGCATTGACATGCGATGCCTCCCTGTACAGGTTTGGGATAGTATTCGCACATAGGTGGCCCAATGGAGAGGAACGCCCAATAGAATATGCATCCAGGACTTTGGCTAATAGAGTGTAATTAGGCCCAGATAGAGAAGGAAGGTTTGGCGATCATATTTGGAGTTGGGACGTGCCACCAATACCTTTTATGGATGTAAATTTGTAATAATAACAGACACAAACCCCTGCTAGGTCTGCTTAAAGAGGACAAGGCAGTGCTGCCCAGAGTTTCAGGCTGAATTTAGCAGAAAGAGCAGTACAAACTTTGAAGGCAGACTTAAAGAAATAGCCTACATCTTCACTCGATACCAAACTGTCCTGGTTCCCATTTGATTGTAGGACTACCCATCATATGACTACAAGGAAAGCTCCAGCAGAATCACTAAAGGGGAGATGACTCCTTACCCAGTTAAATCTGATCTTCCCGGACCTGGGGCGGGGGGAGGGTGAAAACGGTGAAATGGCATTAGGAATGCCAAGGCCGGACACAAGACTACGCTGAATGGGAGAGACCGTTTATTTCCGGGGACACAGTTTGGTGCAGGAACCACATGCATGGATAAGAGGGACAGTCAACTGAGGTCAGGTCCAGTGACACACAAAGTTCGGGTAGGTGCGACGCCCCTGAACAAGCACGTGGACCGCATGATAGCTGCAAAACATGCTCGGCTCCTTGGAACAGTCAGAAAGGCTGTCAGAACCTGTAGGTTCTCCCTCCCTGTTAAGCGTTGAAGAAACTTTGGAATCTGAGATAGACACGGTGAACGTCACTGCCTTGTCCCCTTTGCCACCTGAAGAAGAGAATGAATTTATTCTGAGACTCTCTGGGCGTGAGAGGTCAGCTTCTGAGTGTTAGGTGCCACCTGTATCCAAGACAGTGTCGCAAGAATCTGACCCAGTGCTAAAACACCCCAGGAGGAGCTACGAGAGAGAGAAACAGCCCATGTCCTTGAACTCTGCAGGGGGGCGGGGAGTGCAGGGATGTAATGATTGTAACAAGGTCAACCAGGTATACTTGATAGGATATGAATTCCCTGATTGGACCAATTAACAGCCCAATCAGGAAGCCCTAGTTGACAAATATAAACGGTGTCAGAGGTTCTGCTCATTCTAGCAGCTGGCTATGAAAAAGCTGGATCAATGTCAATGACTTTGCATGTGTAAATAAAGGGTGACTGAGTGATAGGATACTAGCCACTGTGGAGTTACTTCACTTGTCTCATTGTCATCAAATAGGAAATTAACTTAGATAACACAGTGTGGAGCTAGAGGAATACAGCAGGCCAAGCAGCATCAGAGGAGTAGGAAAGCTAATGTTTCGGGTCGGGATCTTTCTCTTGTGTCCGATAGGGAGGAATAGAATCATAAGTTGAGGTTGTGGATCCTGTGAAGAATGAAAAACAGAAGAGGTCCTTTGCAGGTCTGGGAGAGGGAGGCTCTGTGTTGGGGTAGGCTTGATTGAAGGGTGAGGAGATGCCGACGCATTGCTGAGAGTGTGTGCTTGAGGAGCTGCAGAGAAAAGCGTTTTTAGAGGATCTGCATGTTCTGTATGTAGCAGTTGTTTGCAGTCAGGGTCAAATTGGGGTGGCCTGAATGTGGATTGCAGTCTGTTTGTGCTGATCTGGTTCCGTAGGCAGGTACTGAGAAAGGCAATGTGGCTTTTTTTTTGTAACGTTGTGTTTGTTTTTGGAATCAGAAAATGTGTATCTGTTATTTTCCTTAATTATATAGGTGGGTTAGAATTCATTCTAAACCAGTACATAGTCAGTGGAGGGTGCAGATTGGCAACCAGGCCTTTTATTTTATCATTTTGCTACTTTCTCAGTTCGTTGTCTGTTCAGTTGATTGTCTGTTCGCAGTCAGATAATATGTTGACTGTAATGGGAACTTCCTTTCATGACTGCTGCAGAATACTCATGTGCATGCACTTGCAAAGCTTGAGGCCCATTCCCCTCTGTCTGCTTACCTGTATGAATCTTCAAACATGGCAGTACTTGTGTCTTGCTTGATGTTAATCAAGAATTGACCTTTTTAAAGTATAAGTGTCTTCATTGCCACAGTGGAAAACCGTGATGAGTTAACAGTGTACTTAAACCAACTGTTGGAGAGCAAGCCACCGCAAGCTAATATTCTGCCAACTGCACAGAAAAAGGGTCTGCATCGTTTCCGTGCTGCTGCATATGCCACACGGGACCTGGTCTCTCTGGTACACAAAGCAAAACGACTTGACATTCAAAGTTAGTTTGGTATTATTGTTTTTTTTTTCTAGAAATGTTGCAATGAATTAAGAGCACTTTCAAGGGATTACCTTATCAGGGTTAACTTATTAGGGTTAACCAGGGAAGGCAATGGCCTAGTGGAATTATCGCAGGACTGTTAACCTTGATTCGAATCCTGCCACGACAGATGGTGGAATTTGAATTCAATAAAAGTCTGGACTTAAGAATCTAATGATGACTCCATTCATTTCATTTCAATGAATCCGTTGTCGATTCTCAGAAAAACCCAAATGGTTCACTAGCATCCTTTTAGGGAGGGAACCTGCTGTCCTTCCCTGGTCTGGCCTACAGCAATGAGATTGACACTTAACTGCCCTTTTGGGGAATTGGGGATGGGCAATAAATGCTGGCCTAGCCAGCAATGCCCATATCCTGTGAATGAATTTTTTTAAAAAACCTTGAAATCTGGAACAAACAAGGTATCTGTTATTCTTTTAAAAATAACTTTTGTCAGAGCAATTGCAGTTATAACAATAGGAACCTCAGAAAATGTTGTAGTGTTCATCAACCAGGAAACTAATGAGGGGAATTTTTGAAAAGTTTTAGTCTGTTTTGCTAAAGTGTGCTGGGCTTTTGATTTATCTCTAACACTAACTGAACTCCATCAGTTGAAGTTCTAGCTTCAATTCTCCCTATATATCCCTTCTTTTTCTCATTTACTGTTGAACAAGTGAAATTATGTCTTCAAGAAGTGATGATATTTACTGTAGCTCAAAATATTTTATATTTCCAATTTGTGTTTTAATTTACGTACAATCACTTTTTAAGAGTAGAGTTTCTGAGTTGATTCTTGCAGTTTTATGACACGTCAGGTGTTGCGTCAGGTCTAGTTGACTCTTGACAAAAGAGTCGAACTCCAGAGGTGAGTGAGAGTGACTGTCCTTGAGTCAAGGCAGCATTTGACTGAATATGGCATCAAGACCCTACCAAAACTAGCGAGTGGGAATCAAGAGAGAAATCTCTCCCCTGGTTGGAGTCATACCTAACACCAAAGGAAGATGCTTGTGGTTCTTGTGCATCAATCGTCTCCGTTCCAGGACATCAGTGTTGATGTTCCTCAGGGTTGTGTCCCAGGTCCAACTGTCTTCAGCTGCTTCCATCAATTACTTTCCCTTCAATGTCAGAAGTGGAACTGTTCATGATTGCTCAATGTTCAGCACTATTCATGATTCCACAGATGCTAAAGGAGTTCATGTCCTTATGCAACATGTCCTGGGCAACATCCAGGCTTGGGCTGATATTTGGCAAATAACATTTGTGTCATAGAAGTGCTGGGCAAAGACCATCTCCAACAAGAGTGAATTTGACTACCTATCCTTCATATTCAATAGTGCTACATAATATAATCAAAATACTGGAGGTTACCATTGACCAGAAACTGAACTGGGCCAATCATATAAACAATGTGACTGCAAGAGCAGGTCTGAGGCCAAGAATTCTGCAACAAGCCTCTTGATTTCCCAAAGCATTGATGAATAGTGGCAGCGGCATCTGCAAGATGCACTGCAACAACTCACCAAGGCCTTTTTAACAACACACCCATGACCTCTGCCATTCAGAAAGACAAGAGTTGTAGACGCGTGGGAGGACCACCACCTGCAACTCTCCTTTAAGCAATACACCTTCTTGACCTAGAACTAGATAGTGGTATTTCGCCATTATTGCTGTGACCAGCCTTCCTTAACAGGCAATTCACCACCACATTCTTGAAAGCAACTGGAAATAGGCAAGAATTGCTGGCCTGACCAGTGTACCTATATCCGTTGAATGAATTTAAAGAAAAGGTTGAAATTCCTCTATCCTTTTCTGCTTTGTTTTGTCTCCCCAATTGTTACAAATACCAGTTGTACTTTGCCCAATTTAACATAACTTCACAGAAATTCATTCAATTGTTAAATCATGCTTCTTGGCTTTTGTCAGTGGGTTATTTCAATTCTTGTTGATGTTGAGCAGGAGATCCAATGGATTTCTGTAATTCCTGTTGGATATCTACGCATGATTCAACAGGTTCAGTTTAGACAATTTGTGAATGCAATAAAAGTACAAGATACAAGATAAACATGCAGGGCAATGGGGATGGGGCAGAAGGGTCAAGCTAATTGTATGATTGTAGGCACAGATGATGGGCCAAATGGCTTCCTGTGCAATAAGATTCCATGATAACCACACGAGATGTAGAATTGACACAATCGTAGCTTGCATGTTAGAACTGAAATCTAGGGTAACGAGCAAAATACTGTAGATTCTAGTAACCTGAAATGAAACAAAGTGCTGGAGAAGCTCTGCAGGTCTGGAACGTCAGTGGAGAGGGAAACAGTATTTACATATCAAATCCAATATGATTCATTGTAACTGAAAAGAGCTGGAAATTGGTGTTTTTAATGCTAGTGACGGGTAAGAAGAGCAAGTGGAACAGATGTTGAGGCCCAGAGTAAAAAAACAAAGCCAGTGATAATGGTGGTAAAGGAGAGCTACCTACGTAAAGTAGGTGTAAATACTATCTGTAAAAAAGGAAAATACGTGTTCCCACTACTGAGAGCAAGGTTAACAAAACAGCTACGGAGAGGAGTAAGAGACCAAATGGAGACTGGGTGACTGCTTTGTGGAACACCTCTCATAGGAATGACACTGACCTTTCATTTGCTTATCATTTTATTCACCACCTTGCTCCCATGCTAATATTCCCATCCTTGGCTGCTGCAGTGTTCCAGTAAAGCTCAATAAAAGCAAGACAAACAACACATCATTTTTCAGTTTGGCATTTTGCAGCCTCTAAGACTCAGTATTGAGATGCCCAACTTTAGAGTCAATTTTTCTTATACCCCTGGTAGTGTCTCCCTCGTGTTTTGTTGACTTGGCTCTCTGCGGAGTGGATCTATTTTCTGTTTCTCACCTATCGTTCACACCTGTTTTACATACCTGTCACTCTTTTACCACTATTATTACTAGTTTTGTCTTTTTGCTCTGCGCATGCTCATCACCTTTCCCACTCGCTCCTCTTCCCCATTGTCACCAGCATGAAAAAACATCACTTCCAAGCTTCTTTCAGTTCTGAAGAAGTGTGATACTGGACTCAAAATAGTTTCTCCTCAGATGCTGCCAGACCTGCCGAGTTTCTCCAGCACTTTCATTTTACGTTCTCTCTCAAACTAAATATTTGTTCTGATTAATTCAAATGATAATTTGAATGTAAAAATAATTAATTTATTTCTTTTCATATTGTAGATGTCTCTCTTTATCTACCCAGCAGCTTCTTATCTATCAGCCATCCATCACCTTATTCTTCGTCTGTATCTTCAGACGAGACAAAAGACAATGTAGAGGTAATAACTTTTTTTATCACATACTTATGTTTGCTGTGAGGGTTGGTTCTGGGGCTACATTTTGCAAAGTAAGTGGTTTGGGGAAGGAATAGTACTGAGGTCCATTACTTTGGACCGTTTATCAGTGATAAAATTATGAGGATTTGTAATTAGGCCCCACAAGCTGATCAGTTATAGAGGACGCTGGGCAGGTTGGAAATTTAGATTAGAAGTTGGAGATGTTTACGTAAAGAAATACAAAGCTAAGTTTGGAAAGGGAAGCAATAAGAGGCCAATAGAAATAGAAAAAACCTCTAGGAAATGACTCCAAAGACTGACCTGAGCATTTTTCCAGAAAACACTTGGAGAAACACCAGGTCAGTGTGCAGTAATAGTGAACAGGGCAAACAGAATATATTGCTCAGGGAACATTAACAGTAATGAATTTGGAGAAGGAGGTGGCCACTCAAGACTGCTCCACCGTTCAGTAAGGTCATGGCTGATCTGATTACTCCGCCTTCTCACTTATCTGAAATAATGTTTCACTTCTTGCTTGTCAAGAATCTGTGACATCCCTATCTGTGCTTTACAAATATGCAAAGAGTCTGCTTCTACTATCTTTTGAGGAAGAGAGTGCCAAAGACACTCAACCCTTGGAGAAAACAAATTCTCACCTCAGTCTTAAATGGGTGACCCCTTAATGTGAAACAATAACTCCTTATTTTAGATCCTCCCATAAGAGGAAATCTCCTTTCCACATTCACTCAGTAAAGATCCCTCAGGATCTTATGTTGAAATCAAGTCACCTCTTGCTCTTCTAAACCCTAGCAGATACAAAGTTAGCTGCCTAACCTTTTCTCATAAATTCCTGACATTAATCTATAGACCTTCTCTGAAATACTTGCAATACATTTACATCCTTCCCTAAATACACAACAATGCAATAAGCAGTATCCCAGATGTGATCTCACTAATGCCCTGTATAACTCGGGTATAACCTCCATCTTTGTGTTCAATTCCCCCCAGAATCAACAATAAAATTCTGTTTGCTTTCCTAATTGCTTGTTGTACCTGCAATTCAACATCCCTAATCAATATTCTGGAGGTTATATTTGACCAGAAACTGAACTGGACTAGCCATATCAATATCTCCCATGAGTGAATTTTTTTTTTTAAAACCTGTGGCAAATTGTGCTTTAGGACATCCAGTTCCCTCTGCATCTCAGAGCTCTGCAATTTTTCACCATTGTGATATTATTTGTTCCTGCTAAAATGGACAAATTTATATTTTCTCAAGTTATACTCCATTTACCTGACCTTTGCCCACTTTACCAGTTTGTCACAAACCTACTGTTTATAGCTTCCTTACATCCTCTTTACAACATACTTTCCTATATGTGGTTGTCTTCAGTAAATTCAGCAACCATACCTTTGATCTCTTCATCCAAGTAATTTAAATTAATGGTGAAAATTTGAAGTGCTAGCACTGATAGTTGTGGAACGCTACTCATTACATTTTATCAACCTGAAAATGATCCATTTATAACTACTGTTTCCTGTCAGCTAGCCTATCTCTCTCTCCCTAGAAAGTATATTTTTATTTTCTGCAATGACACTTGTATGTAGCACCAAATGCTTTCTGGGAATCAAAGTAAAATACATCCACCATTTCCCTTTTGTTCACATCATATGTTACTCCTTCAAAGAATTACAATAAGTTAATTAAACATGATTTCTCTTTCACAGAACAAAGTAAAAATCTTTCTGAAAATTGTTGTATACAATAAGTTAAGTGCATTTTTGGTCTCCAAAGATGTTAAGGGATGTGAAATTAGCTCCCAGATCAGCAATAGCAAAGCAAGATTAAGGGGCTCGCTGATATTACTGTCACAATGGAGCACCCCAAAAGACATTTAAGAGAGACTCCTAGCTTGATTATAATGTTCTATCCTGAGGCAAAGTTTAAAGCCCACCTTTGTGACATTCTACATTGTTAGAGGCACTAAGTAAATGCATATTTTTGTTATTTGTATTTCTGATGTGAGAAGGAACTTGAATTTGAGACTGTAGAGCAGAAGCAAACTTTTAATCAAAAGTTAGTGACAAATGTATTCTATCCTTTTATTTGAGGTGCAATTGACAGTTGGAAACAGGCCAGACAGGAATCTAATCTGAATCTGGGTGCTTGTGAGGAGCAGTTGGTTGACAGTTTGAAATAAAACGAATTGAACTGCAAATGAGCATCTGACTTTGAACTTCCTAAAAACATGTTCAAATGGATTTTGCTATCAGTGAGGAAACAATGCCACTTGCTGCTGACCTCAAAGAGAAATGATAAGTGACTAGTGGCATGGATTACCCTTCTCAGGTGGCAGTTTAAACTTGGCATTAAGGCAAGTGACTCTCCAAGAGTCCAGCAGCAGTGATGTCGGTAAACATTATATTAAATTGTTCTAACAGATAGCAAATCTGGAATTTAAAGTATTGATTATTGTCCTTGCGTCTTGAGAAGCTTATCTTACAAGTGAAGACTTGTACTTCTTTATTTTGCCCATGGTGAAAGAAATGTCTCCTCTAATGTAGTGAAACTGTTACCTCCCTGATATTTTGGTGTATTGCGAATGGGCAATTTTGTTGATAAAGGGACAGGAGTAAGCCATTCAGCCCCATGAGCCTGCCCTGCCATTTTAGATCATGGCTGATCATCTCCTCGACACTTTCCTGCACTATCTCCATATCTTTAAGGTCACTAGTCTCCATAAACCTATCAATTTCTGTCTTGAAACTGCTCAAGGATTGAGCTTCCAAGGCCTCTTGGTTAGAACATTCAAAAGATTCCTTGATGTCAGAATTAAGAAAATCTTCCTGATCTCAATCGTAAATAGATTTCCTCGTGTCCTGAAATCTGTCTCCAGCTTCTAGCATCACAGACAAGGGAAGCTTTCTCTCTATATCCACCTTGCCATGTCAATGAGATCATCTTGCAGTCTTTGAAACTCTAGAGAACTTCAACCCAGTTTCCTTAATCCTTCCTTAATTAATCGGTGTTTAATATCTATTGAATTTGTATTATAAGTAGTTAATTTGGATTATTCTTTTATATCTTTGTTCCTTTTGTAATAAACTTCTTTTACTGTTAAAGCAAAATCTGCAGTACTGTATGTTCATGGGTCTGTGATGTTTCACTTTTACTTAAAACGAGAACAATCAAAAATATCATCTATCAATCCAGATTCCTGACTGCGATCTGGTTTCTCAGGTAATAACATTTGCTGGAATCATATCACTAGTCTCCAATAAATGTCCTCAAAAAAGCTCCAAGTTCATCAATCATTATTTCCTTATCATAAATCCGCATTGACTCTGCCCAATATTGCCATTCTTTTCTAAATATTCGGCCTTCTTTATAATAGATACTAACTATGGATGTCTGTAGCTCTCCACACTGCATTCCTACCTTTTTAAATGGTGGAGTTATATTTGTCACCTAACAGTCACCAGAAATCTTTCCCGTATCTACAGAATTACAAAAGATAGTAGTCCGAGTCTGCTATCTCTATCTCCATTGCTACTTCCTTCAACACTGGATGAAGCTCATCTGATCCAGCAGATTGTCAATCCCCAATCCAACTAATTTTCCAAATGCTATCTGTTTACTAATGCTAGTTTCTTATACCTCTTCAGTTTCACAAGTCCCTTAGTCACCTTGTATTTCTGGGAACTTTTCCGTGTTTCCTGTGAAGACCAACTCAAAGTAACTCTTTCTCCACTATGTCACCACTATAAATTCTCACATGTCCACTTGCAATGGACTGATATTTATCCTAGCAAACATTTTCCTCTTGCATATCAATAGAAGCTTTTACGGTCTGACTTTATATTCCTCACTGGTTGCATTCATAATCTTTTTTCCGTTTCCTTATGAGTTTCTTGGCCCTCGTTTGCTGGGTCCTAAATTGGTCCCTGTGCTCAGATTTACCACTGTTTCTGGCATTCTTATAAACCACTTCCTTTGATCTCATGCAATTTTTAACTATTTGTTAGTTGTGATTGAGTTATCTATCCCTTTGGGTGTTTATGCCTTAGAGAAATGTACATCTACTGTAGACCTGCCAATATTCTTTTAAAAGCAAGTCATTTCTGTCAACCAGCAAATCTTTGAGGTGCCACAAGCTAGCGAGGGTAGGAATAGGAGGATAGAGCAGATGAATGCATAGGTGGGACTGCTGTAGTGTTAAGGGCTTGGACGGAGAGAAATTTAAGCACAAGAAAATTTTCTGATTCTGTATGTGGATGCACCTACTAGAGAAGGTGCAAAACTTGACCTACTCTTGGGAAATAAGGTAGGGCAGGTGACTGAGGTGTCTGTAGCGGGTGCACTTTGGGTATTGTGTAGATTTAGCATAGTGATGGAAAAGTATAGACTGGATCTAAAAATTAAAGTTCGAAATTGGAGGAAGGCCAATTTTGATGGTGGTAGGCAAGAACTTTCAAACTTGATTGGGGCAGATGTTTGCAGGTAATGGGAAGCATTCAAAAATAAGGTAAGGAGAGTCCAGAGACAGCATGTTCCTGACAGGGTGAAGGGCAAGGCTGGTAAGTGTAGGTAATGCTGGATGACTAGAAAAATTGAGGTTTTGGTCAAAAAAAAGAAGGAAGCATATGTCAGTTATAGACAAAAGAGATCAAGTGAATCCCTAGAAGAGTATAAAGGCAGTAGGAGTATATTTAAGAGGGAAATCAGGAGGGCAAAAAGGGGACATGAACTAGCTTTGGTAAATAGGGTTAAGGAGAATCCAAAGGGAGTTTATAAATACATAAAGAACAAAAGGGTAGCTAGCGAGAGAATAGGGCCCATAATGATCATCAAGGCCACTGTGTGGAACTGCAGAGATGGGGGGGATACTAAACCAGTATTTTACTTCAGTGTTTACTGTGGAGAAGGATATGGAAGATGTAGAATGTGGAGAAATAAATAGTAACATCTTCAAAAATGTCCATGTTAGAGAGGCAGAGGTGCTGAATGTCTTTAAAACGCATAAAGGTGGATAAATCCCAGTGCCTGAACTGTGTGGAAAGCAAGGGAAGAGATTGCTGGGCTCTTTGCTGAGCTATTTGTATTATGGATAGTCACAGGTGAGGTGCAGGAAGATTTGAGGTTGGCTAACGCAGTGCCACTATTTAAGAAAGGAAAAGCCAGGGAACTATAGATTGGTGAGCCTGATATCGGTGGTGGGCAAGTTGTTGGAGGGAATCTAGAGGGTCATAATTTACATGTACTTGGAAAGGCAAGGACTGATCAGGGATAGTCAGCATGGCTTTGTGCGTGGGAAATCGTGTCTCGCTAACTTGATTGAGTTTTTTTTTGAAGAAGTAACAAAGAGGATTGTTGAGGGCAGAGCGGTGGATGTGATCTATATGGACTTCAGTAAGGTGTTTGATAATTTTCCTCATGATAGAGTGATTAACAAAGTTAGATCACATGGAATACAGGGAGAACTATAGAACTGGCTCGAAAGTAGAAGACAGAGGGTGGTGATGGTTGATTGCTTTTCAGAAACCTGTGACCAGCGGTATGCCACAAGGATCACTGCTGGGTCCACTGCTTTTTGTCATTTATATAAATGATTTGGATGTGAACATAGGAGGTATGGTTAGTAAGTTTGCAGGTGACACTAAAATTGGAGGTGTAGTGGACAGCAAAGAAGATTACCTCAAATGGGCCAATCGGCTGAGGAGTGGCAGATGGGATTTAATTTAGATAAATGTGAGGTGCTGCTTTTGAAAAGGCAAATCAGGGCAGGACTTTTGCACTCAATGGTATAAACCTGGGGCAGTGTTACTGAACAAAGAGACCTTGGAGCGCAGGTTCATAGTTTCTTGAGAGTTACAGGTAGACAGGATAGTGAGGAAGGCGTTTGTTATGATTGCCTTTACTGGTCAATGCATTGAGTAAGTATAGGAGTTGGGAGGTCATGTTGCAGCCGTACGGGACAATGGTTTGGCCACTTTGGGCGTATAGCATGCAGGTCTGGCCTTCCTCCTATAGGAAGGATGTTGTGAAACTAGAAAGGGTTCATAAAAGATTTATGGAGATGTTGCCAGGGCTGGGAGGGTTTGAGCTATAGGGAGAGGCTGAATAGGCTGGGGCTATTTTCCCTGGAGTGTCAGAGGCTGAGGGGTGACCTTTATAGATGTTTATAAAATCATGAGGGGCATGGATAGGGTAAATAGGCAAGGCCTTTTCCCCCCGGGTGGGGGGGAGTGCAAAACTAGAGGGCATAGGTTTAAGGTGAGGGGGGAAATATTTAAAATGGATCTAAGAGGCAACTTCTTCACGCAGAAGATGGTGTGTGCATGGAATGAGCTGCCAGAGGAAGTGGTGGAAGCTAGTACGATTGCAACATTTAAAAGGCATCCGGATGTGTACATGAATGGGAAGGTTTACAGGGATATAGGCCAAACGCTGGCAAATGCGATGAGATTTATACAGGATATCTGGTTGGCATGACTGAAGGATCTGTTTCCGTGCTGTATATCTCTGTGACTCTGTATTTTCCCAATCCCCCCGGCCAACTTGCATGGTTTCCACAGATGTAAGACTTTTGTTTCAAAATGATCCATGACACATTCAAACTCTGTATAAAATTCCATCACAGTACAGTCACTCTTTTCCAAAGTCTCTTGTTTACACCATGGTTTTAATTAGCACTTTCTCATGGCACAACACCAAATCCAAAATAGCCCAGTCCCTTGTTGGTTCCTCAACATACTGTTTCACCAATCCATTTCATATACACTCCTGGAATTCATCCCACAGAATTAGTTCTGACTTGGTTAAGCTACTTTATGTTCAATTTGAGGTCGCCTATGATTACTGGCTTATCTGCGTTACAAGCATCTCTAATTTCCTTATTTGGCCAATATTGGTACCACAGTTTGGTGTTCTTTAAACAACTCCCTCCAATGTTGCTTCTCCTTGCTGCTGCTGAACTCCACCCAAACTGATTCTATTGATGCCAACTCACCTCCTTTTCCTTTTCCTCTGTCCCTCCTAATTTAGAATATCCTCAGTCATTCAGTCCCCAGTCTCAGTCACTTTACTCCTGCCTCTGAAATGGCAATGAAATTATATCAATCTCCCTCAATTTGTTATTTGGACGATCAACCTTTTGTGAGTACTTTGCGCTTGCAAATTAAGGGTCTTTAATTTGGCCTTTTCAACAAAATGGTCTGTTTGAGATCCTTTTTGATGCTTGTCATTATTTCTTCTGTTTTGAATTCTTGCTTCTAGTTTGCTTTCCTTGAATCTGAACTCTGTTATGTTTCTACCCCCACCAACTCATTTTAAACTCCAACAGAACTGGCAAATCTCTTTGAGGTGGTTAGTCCTCATCCTGCCCAGATGCAACTGTCTATCTTGATTAAGTCTCACTTGCCCCATAAGCAGTCCCACAACATCAGAAACCTGATGCTGTTCCTCATACACCAATTTTCTGGCTGTGTGTTCAAACACTCAATTTTTCTGTTTCTATCTCACTAACATGTATGATTTAGAGTAATCCTGAGATATTACTGTTGCAGGGATCTTGCCTTTCAATCTCCTTCTAGCTTCTTAGGATATGCTTTTGGAATCTGACCCCTACTTAGTAACCCACTCATTTGTACAAGCATGGACTGTGACCTTGGCTATTCACCCTCCCCCAGAACAATGTCTTGATGTCATTTGTGACATCCTTGACCCTGGCACTGGGAAGGCAATGTACCATACTGGCTACACATATGTTTATCTGTTCTCCTAAGGAATCCCCATCAGTACAGTTCTTTCACTCTCTCCTTCCTCCGATCCTGTTGCGCTGAGTCATTTATGGTGCCACTGTGTTCCCTTGAGAAGCCATCACTGTTATCTCAAAGGATACATTTGCCTATACCCCACTTCATCTTCCATCTGCTGAGCTGCTTCAGCCTGACAGAAAAGCCGTGCACATTCCTCACTCTGGTCCTATTGGATGCAGTTGAGTATTCTTGCAATACTAGGCCCTTGATGGGCACAAATTTCATGTGTCTGCTTTGATCCCGCTGTAGACAAGTAGTTCAGGAACCTGAGATATCTCAGATTGTTATCTCAGATTCTCCAGCATCTGCAGTTCCTACTATCTCTAGTTCAGGAACCTGCAGCTTAAAATCATAAGCATTACAAGGGCTGAATTCCAGGCAGAAAGGTTACTTTATTTTTCTGATTGAAAGTATAAAAAAGTATTTAATTAAAAATTGGCTTAAAATTAAAGCCTATTTATAATGCCTTTTCATGTACCTGAAAACGAATCGACCTGAGCCTCTGAAAAGAGGTTAGCTGATATGCTGAGTCTTAGAGTATTTTGTGTATTTGTTTTAAGCATGTCAGGGTATATGAGTACTCTGGGCTAGGGAGAGAAAAAGTATGATTAAACATTATTTGGTCTAATTATTGCAGTTACCTTGCTGAAAAGCACAAACTTTTGAACATTGAAGGCAGGCTTGAGTTTAGGTCATTAGCCTACTAACACTAGTGCTTCAAACAAATGTGGCCACATGGTTGAAGCAGTAGACGACTTTCACAACCTAAGAAACAGCAGAGAACTGAAAACAGCTTTCACGGAGAGTTTTACAGCAGAAGTACCATTACTGCAAACTAGGGAAATAGCCATCAGTGTCCAGCTTATGCCTCATCTGACCTGAAATACTTGTTCAGTTGATGTACAAGAAGCTTTACTTTCCAATGTGGTGCTCTCCTCTTGCAATCAAGCTTGTGATATTAGGTTGTTTCCTGTATTATTGGCCTTCTATTCCTGTATCCTGAGTTGGAGCTTTCTGGACCACTGCTTGCCTTGGCTTTCTCTTGTCTGAATCATGATTTTTTTTTTGTACTGTTACACATGTACAAACCCAAGCCGCAAGGGAACCAAAGCAGTGCAAGCTACAATCTTGTCTGAATGCCACTCCCCACCACCACTGCAGTCTCTGTCAGCACTTTCCGCCAATCCTGCCCCTATGGCCCTTCAGCACTTTCCAATTGTCCCTTGTAGTAAAGTGTCCTTTTTTTTTTAAACTGAGTTGGCCACCCTGCCAAAGCCGCTCTATTTTCACCAATTCAAATTAGGTTTTTAAACATGTATTCATGGGATGTGGATGTCAATGGTTAGGCCAGCATTTAATGCCTTAATTGCTGTTGAGAAAATGATGGTAAGCTGTCTTCTTGAACGATTGTAGTCCTGGGTGTATGGGTGCATTTAGGTATAACCATATTTCTGTTCAAGAGGTAGTTCCAGGTCTTTGACTCAGCAGCAATGAATCTGACTGTGCAAAAGAGAGAATTTACCTTGGGCACAGCTGACTCTAAATGGACTTTGGATAAAGATTTGTTCCCCACAGAAGTTCTGCTTCCTCCATGAGCTTTAAAAATCTTTATGTAGAAAGAAAAATTCAAAGTACATTTGAAGTAACTGAAGATGGTTTTACTCAAACAATCTACTATATGGCTGTGGTACCTGAATTCTGTAAATACTTTCTGGAATAAGGTCACAGATGCATATTTTAACCTAGTCTGTATTCTGTCAGTATGACAAAATCATATATTTACTTTCCTCTTTTCTAAATGTTTTAAATTTATAACCAGGTAACATTAATTTATAGTTGGTATGAGGATGGCAATGTGTCACTTGTGAAGGTTATATATGTTGCTCATTCCTTACTTGCCTTTCATTGATACCTCAGATGCTATTAAAAAATCAAACATTGACAAACAGCCCAAATAGGGATGTCAGGTTCTTTTCCTTGAAGGCCATTTAAGAGTGATTTTGAGTTTTTATGGCAGGTGTAAATTATAAAATTAAAATTAACTACTTCTGTACCTATGCTAATAGAAGCCTATTGAACTTGTGTGACTGTAGAATTAAAGATTTGCAATTATAATTCTGATTTCATTCTTATTTTGTATCAGTATTCATCAGCCACCCTTAGAAAGGATTTGCCGAAGAATGCCTATGGTGAAATAGATTGCAAAGCCTTAGTTGAACAATTAAAAACGTGCTCAACCTTACAAGAACAGTTCGAGATTATCCATGTAATATATATGACAAAGTAAGGTTTTTCATTTTTCAAAAAATATATATTTTTCAGATAATGATTAATATGTGATTTGATTTGTAACTTTGTTTCTCTTTCAATACCTTCCTGTTCTATCTGTAGGGGTATGGATTGGGATACAAATATGACGGATAATCCTAGTACCACTGTCCGTGATCTCCTAATGGAGCTATACACAAAAGTTGGTAATGCTCACCAATGGGGACTAATCCGTTACATATCTGGCATGCTCCAAAAAAAGATTGAAGAACTTGATCAGGTCGTTAAGTCTAATCCTTCACATTTGTATTGCACAGTGCTTAATATGTGGTGTTATCTATAGCAATTTTAACGTTTTCCAAGTCTGAAATCTGTAGGCATGCCACATACTCACTTGACCTTCTTTATTAATGTGGTGAATTTTTTTTTTGCATTGCAATTTATATTGAAAATGTCTTGTGTATGTTAACGGTGTGATAGAACTGGAGCACAGCCACATGACAAATTATAATTCCACTGAACATTTGTGAAGTTCCAATTTCATCACAATGTGGAATTGAGCTTTTATATCTATTTTATATTTGTTTTCAACAGCTTTGAGTTTTGCTGTTATTTTATCCTTTTTTACCTTATGACAGCAGTGACTGATTCTGGACAACAAATGTCTTCAACCTTTTGAAATGAAGTTTACTTCACCACTGTCATGGTGTCAGTCTGTTATTTGATTGTGTAAGATATCACAATTGAGCCTTATCGTTATTTGTGTGTAGACTTTATAAGCAGTTACTCAATAACCAGGGATGGTAAATCTTGGCTGTATTTTAACCATACAAGAGTTCCGCTGTTACCTTGACTGAGATTGATCCCTGATCCCTGATCAGTATTGTATAGTCTGGCATATGGCATGTTTTCTAATAAATAACAAAGTAATCCAGTACTTTACTGAGCTATTGAATCATCTTCATTGTCAATAAGTCAAGTAGTGACTGGTTGAAAATTGTTCCTTTTTAAGTATATAATATTTGCATTTTTGATATAACTTCATTTTTGATGCAATCTACCACAGGCCTGCACAACACTCTTATCAAATCAGAAGCATCTTACTGTTGGCCTTCCTCCTGAACCTCATGAGAGAACAATTTCAGCGTGAGTACTTCACTGAAGACTAGGTATTGGGTCACATTATATTGAAGTAGTTATGATATCAATTTATGATCTTTCTTTCTTTCTTATTAGACCTTTGCCACTTAATGAGCTTACAAAACTGATTGAAGAAGCTAGCGAACAAAATGTCAGTTTGGTCATTCTCACACAGGTTAGTTCATGCAACAAAAAACATTGTTAATGAGTCCAATTTGAATTTCAATGTTTATATACATTCAGATTTAATAGCCAATTATTATTTCTCCCCTGTTGTCAATGGATTACTTGTTGAGTTTGGCACAACATCCTGTTGAACACCAAAACATGAGTCAAAAAGTTCAGCTTGGACAATTTTCTGAATAAAATTAAAATACCAGGATTCAGAGATAGTGGGAACTGCCAATGCTGGAGAATCTGAGATCCTAACCCTCCGTCTACTGACCCCTTCTCCCACCTCCAACACACCCCCTCCTCCTGGACACCATCCCAAGACCTCCTACCTTCCCTCGACCTCTTCATCTCCAACTGCCGTCGAGACATCGATCGCCTCAACCTTCCACCCCTCTCACCCACTCCAACCTCTCCCCCACAGAACGTGCAGTCCTCTGCTCCCTCCGCTCCAACCCCAACCTCACCATAAAATCCGCGGACGAGGGAGGCGAAGTTGTAGTATGGCGCACTGACCTCCACGTTGCCGAGGCCAGACGCCAGTTCTCTGACACCTCCTTCTACCGGCCCCTTGATCATGACCCCACCCCCGACCACCAAACCATCATCTCCCAAACCATCCACAACCTCATCACCTCAGGTGACCTTCCATCCACCGCCTCCAACCTCATCGTTCCCCAACCCCACACCGCCCGTTTCTATCTCCTTCCCAAAATCCACAAACCTGACTGCCCTGGTCGACCCATTGTCTTCGCCTGCTCCTGCCCCACCGAATTTATCTTCACTTATCTCGACTCCATTTTCTCCCCCTTGGTCCAGGAACTCCCCACCTATGTCTGTGACACCACCCACACCCTCCATCTCCTCCAAAACTTCTGATACCCTGGTCCCCAACACCTCATCTTTACCATGGACGTCCAGTCCCTATACACTTGCATTCCCATGCAGATGGCCCAAAGGCCCTCCGCTTCTTCCTGTCCTGCAGGCCCGACCACTCCCCCTCCTCTGACACCCTTATCTGCTTAGCTGAAATCGTCCTCACCCTTAACAATTTCTCCTTCAATTCCTCCCACTTCCTACAGACAAAGGGGGTGGCCATGGGTACCCGAATGGGCCCAAGCTGTGCCTGCCTCTTTGTAGGATACGTGGAACAATCCCTCTTCCGAAGCTACACTGGTCCTATCCTCCACCTCTTCCTCCGTTACATTGATGACTGTATCGGCGCCGCCTCGTGCTCCAACGAGAAGCTCGAACAGTTCATCCACTTCACCACCACCTTCCACCCCAACCTTAAGTTCACCTGGACCATCTCCGATACCTCTCTTCCTTCCTGGACCTCTGTTTTCATCTCTGGCAACCACCTGGAAAGCGATATCCATTTCAAGCCTACTGACTCCCACAGCTACCTAGAATACACCTCCTCTCACCCACCTTCCTGCAAAAGTGCGATCCCCTATTCCCAATTCCTTCGCCTCCGCTGCATCTGCTCCCGAGATGAGGCATTCCACTCCCGGACATCCCAGATGTCGTCGTTTTTCAAGGACCGCAACTTCCCCTCCACAGTGGTCGAAAACGCCCTTGACCATGTCTCTCGCATTTCCCGCAACTCATCCCTCGCACCCCCTCCCCCCAATAACAACCAAAGCAGAATCCCCCTCGGCCTTGCATACCACCCCACCAACGTCCGGATCAAATGCGTCATCCTCTGGCACTTCCGCCATCTGCAATCTGACCCCACCACCAAAGACATTTTTCCCTCCCCACCCTTATCTGCCTTCCGGAGGGAGCACTCTCTCTGTGACTGCCTTGTCCGCTCCACACTCCCCTCCAGCCCCACCACACCCGGCACCTTTCCCTGCAACCACAGGAAGTGCTACACCTGCCCCTACACCTCCCC